CCGACCGGGACTTGCATTTTAGTCGACGGTGTTTTGCAAAGTCCTTCATTGCAGGATAAGGAAGTTATTGAGCTCAAAGCAGATAAAATTCTTCATATTGGCACAGTTGATATGGACAGATATCCCTTGTCCAGGAAGCGTTTGCCTTTGGAAAGTTTGCGGGATTGTCCTCATTTTCGACCGCGTACAACAACTGTAAAAATTCGAATAAATCTTGGGCTAATTATCTTTTTTAAATTTACAAGCTTTCCATCATTATAGTATAAGGATTTATTAGAAATGCTGAAATTTTTTACTAGTGATTTGTACAAATATATCAAGTTTCTCTTATGAAAAATGTTTAAATTTTTTGTAGCTATTATTTTGTTCTCATCAAGTCTTGATGAGTTTTGTTTTGTAAATACTTCAATTCTTGAATTGTTATTACTCATTTTCCTTATGAAAAAAAAATTAAAAAAATCAGGTGGCCTCTGTAATGAGGATAAGAAATTCACTCACACAAGCAACTCATCGATTCTTCCAAGAAAACGGGTTCCTTCACGTGCAAGTCCCGATTATCACCAACACAAACTGCTGGGGCCCGAAAAACGAGAACACATTCCACGTCACCACACTTCTCGACCGAACGGAAAAAACGGACGATCAAAACCCGTTCGACGATTTCGAAACCGTGAAGCTCGAAATCATTAAGTCCTCAATTCAAGAAAAGGCCCGAAAAATCGAGGAGCTCAAAAGAAGCAATAGCAACAAGGAAGCTCTTGCAGCGGCCATTCATGACTTGAAGAAAACGAACGAGCTAGCTTCGCAGTTAGAAGCCAAACAGAGGGGTAAAATTGGAAAATCGAGCCAAAGGACGAGTCGAGCTAGTGACTTGCCTTGTTTAACAGTTTCGGGCCGAATGCATTTGGAGAGTTACGCTTCTGCCCTTGGAAATGTGTATGCTTTTGGGCCAAGGTTTGTTGCAAATGGGCCCGACTCAAAGAAGTTGTTGGCCGAGATGTGGATGGCCGAGCTCGAAATGGCTTTTTCTGAACTAAAGGTTTTTCCTTTTGAATTTCACTTTTTAACATTTGTCAAGGGAGTAATATGTAATTATTTAAATTTTTTGGTTGTGTTGATGTTATTTTTTTTCAGGATTCTATGGATTGCGCAATCGACTTTTTGAAGTTCGTATGCAAATGGATTTTGGATAATTGCACGGAAGATCTAAAGTTCGTTTCTAAGCGTGTTGATAAACTCATAGTGGATCGGCTTCAATCGATTGTTTCGGGTCCTTTCGAAAAAATTTCTTACACAGAAGCAGTTGAAGTCTTGAAGCAGGTAAAAAGTAACAAGTAATAATGGCTCCTCAATTTATTTTTTTTTGATTTAGTAACAAAACTACCCATTATTTGAGCCAAATTGCGAAAGTGGCGCGCAGTTATCATCCGAAAATTACGAAACACCCTCTGATATTTTGTTATTTTATCCACAAATTCCACCCCAGAGGGCGGATTCTTTTGTAATCTTGAAAGATGTGACTTGGGGAGTTTTGGTAATTAAGCAAACCTCAGGGGCAGTTTCAAAAACTTAAACTACTTGGAGAAAACTTGTGAATAATCAAAAAAGGCTAAACTTTACTGGGATTCTTCATCTTCTGACAGGTCACAGAGAGAAAATTCGAAACAGAAGTCGAATGGGGTGTTTTTCTCACCGAAGAACATGAAAGGTAAACATATTATACCGAAAATTGTATCCTTTTTCAACTTCTAGCTAGGTGGGACAAAAAAAAACTACTATTTGATGCATAATCAATCTTATATTGTTACAATTTATGTTGGCAGCTATTTAACAGATGAAATATACAAAAAAGCGATCGTAATATACAATCACCCGAAAGAACTTAAGCCGTTCAATGTCCGACTAAACGACGATGGGAAAACAGCTGCATCATTTGATATAATCTTACCAAAGGTAAAAAAAAAGACACCAAAACTTACCAAAGGTAAAAATGTGTATGTAAAATATTTTTCGCTTGATCGATTTCAGGTCGGGACACTTATAAGAGGAAGCCAAACCGAAGAGCGCTTTAATATGTTGATCACAAGGTGTGAAAAAAAAAAAGGAACAAAATCGAATTTTTTCGAATTTACGATTAAGTATTTAATAAATCTCTATTTCAAACAGGATCAAAGAATTTGGTTCGGACAGGAAGCATTACGAGTGGTACTTGGAGCTTCGAAAGCACGGACATGTCGAGTGTTCGGGTTTTAGCTTCGTGTTCGATCCATTGGTTATGTATGCCACTGGAATTAATGATGTTAGAGATATTGTTCCATTTCCACGGAGTTTTAGCATTGCTCAGTAATTGAAATATCAACATGGAAAGGGAAAATGAAAAGAAAAAGAATGGAAAAAAAAATAAAAATTATAATAATTTGTATGTGTAGCAAATTCTGTTAAGAGTTTGCGGACTGTAAGAAAATTGATATATTATACTGCAAATATACAATATTGAGTTTGTGAGACGGGATGGAATTGTGTACATAACCTAAAATAAAAAAGTAATTGTGCATTGTGGATTTCCAAATTATTATTATTCATGCATCTCATATATATATATTTTTTTTTTACTTTAGATTTGGCTAAAATTGAATTTTTTTAATAATTTAAATATATGCATATTAATTTTACCAACTAAAAAATTTGGAGAATGCCCTTAATATTTTATTCTAGGAAAGAATTTGATTTAATTGTTTTTTATTTAGAAAATAAATATTAGTAATTTGCCTATAAAATATAACTTAATATATTTTACCTATTACTATTATCAAATTAATAAGCACCTTTATTGTTCATTACACTCTACGATTTCCTTACTCCGTATTTATTTATTTTTTCTAAAACATGTCTTTAAACATTGTCGAAAAAATTGTACTTAATTAATATAAGACAAGATAACTATAGGAGATGGATTGTAGCCATTAAATTAAATATATCACCCACAAAGATAATAAATAAAAGTATATAAAAAGGTTGTTTGAAAAATAATTTTTTATTTTAACTATAAGAAAATAAATCAATCACAAAAGTAATATAAAAATGTATATAAAAGGTTTAGGTTGGACTATTTTTGTACTACAAACCATAAGTGAGTGTGACTGCATACAAGCATATCGAGTGAGTAGAATACACACACTAAGTGAGTGTGATTGTATATCGAGTGAGTAGAAAATTGTCATGTGTGATTGTATATCGAGTGAGTAGTATAAATGAAACACACACAAAATTTTTCTAGTGTGATTGCTGAGTAGAAAAATGTCATTTGGTTAGAATTTTTCTAGTGTGATTGCATATCGAGTGAGTAGAAAAATGTCATTTAGTTAGAAAGAGTAAATTTTCTCAAATCATGTCCTTATACTATATAAATATTTATGGTAAATAAAAATTCCATAGCCTGACTTATTTTATATTTTTGATAACTAGAACTTTCAGTTATTCTTCTTCGACTATTTTTATAACACTTGCCCTTGTTTGTTTTGAAGGATGAGATTGGACTATTTTAGTGCAAATGTATTTTTATAACACTGATGGTAACTTTTATATTTATGGTAAATAAAAATTCCATAGCCTGACTTATTTTATATTTTTGATAACTAGAACTTTCAGTTATTCTTCTTCGACTATTTTTATAACACTGAGCCCTTGTTTGTTTTGAAGGATGGGATTGGACTATTTTAGTGCAAATGTATTTTTATAACACTGATGGTAAATAAAAGTTAGATGTTTGAAACGACCAAATTTTGTTGAGGGGTTAAACTGCAATTATTTGTTTTATAGATTCAATATTGTAAACAATTTAAAAAAAATAAATAAATAGATAATCACAAATAAAATATTTATTTTTAAGAAAAATTAATATTTTTTATATTAATATATAATTTAAAACAATATTTTAGTATAGCTCTTTAACATAATGAAATGATTGAGATGTAAATTGTTTGTTTTTTATTTGTATTATTTGAAGTGTAGCTCATGAGGTTGTGAACTTAAAATTATTATAATTTATTTGACGACAAATAATAAGATATTAATGGATAACAATTGATAGTTACAAATAGTATTGTTTCTTTTTTTCACAAAATATCACATAATATATTTATGTAACAAAAAATATTTTGTTTCTGCACAATTGTAAATGAAATTTATGTTCAATGCGAAATTTGATGTGCTTGTGATTTTATTTTTTCAGTTCACTTGAATCTTATGTGTTGCTTAAGGAATTTGATCTTCAATTTGTTGTTTTCAGTTACTTTGAATTTTATTTGTTCCTTAGAAATGTGATCTTTTGTTTTTACAAATTTGAGTTATCTTAGATATTAGAAGCTACTTGAAGTTGGTTAACAAGTTGGATAAGTGGTTCAACGGATTAGATCGTTATTTAATTATTAATATTTTCAAATTATATAAAAGATTTTATTTACTAAAACTTATACATAAAAATATTATTAATTAAATATTTCAGAAAAATACATTTTACATAAATAATCCCCAACAATATAATAAACAATTTGCTCCAAAAAAATACGGACGATAACTCTTAGTAATATTTTAAAAGAATCTGAATAACATTAAAACAGATAATTGTAAAAATATAAAAAAAGACTGAAAAAAGTTACAAGTTTCCCTTTGAAGAGCTACAACAGATACATAAATCTGTATCTGGTGGTACAATGCATGTTGAATCTGTCAAACTCAAAGCCATTGCTGATGTTCTTCCAACTAAAGGTCTCGCACGAAATTAGTCTAAAGTTTCATACAAATTCAACATTAAAATTCCCTCAAATCTCTCGATCCTTAACATACTCTTCCAAATTATTATAACCGAGCTATATGGTGACATTGTTCTGCTACTAGAAATTCAAAAATATCCATTTCTATCCCCCAAACCAAACATCTAAATATCCAAAAAAAATAAATAAATAAATAAATAAATAAATAAATAAATAAAATAAAACTCCCTAATATCGGCCGATCAACATGAAATCATCGTCATCTAGAACCCGAACCTCCTCATCCCCGACGAAATTCTCCCTCCCGAGCTCCTCCACGATCTTCACAAACTCCACCCTCTTTTCCACGCCACGCGGCACGTACGACAGCCGAAAAACGGGCCTCACGACCCCAAGTTGGGCCAATGCCGTGTTCACCCCAATCGGGTTCGGCTCCTCGAAAAGCCACCTCACAAGCGGCAAAACCCTCGCATTCAACCCCGGATTCTTTCCCCCAAACATCATCTCCCTCATCAACCCCGGCACCAAATTGCTCGCGACCGAAATTACCCCTTTGCCCCTATAATCCCACCTCGAGTCATGACACTCATCGTCGTTACCACTCCACACCACAATCCCGTTGCCCACGTGCTCCCCTACCCGAGCATGGCCCACGCACTCCTTCACGCCCGCTAGATTCGGGCTTTGGGCCAAGGCCCGAATAACTCCCGGGGGAATATCTTGGCCCGTTCGAGAGGGGACGTTGTACAAAATAGTCGGGCCCATTTGGAGTACGCTCTCGAAGTGGAGGACGAGGCCTTCGAGCGAGGTTTTTCCATAGTACGGGTTGATGTGTAAGGCCGCGTTCATGCCGACCGCAAAACCTTGCTCGGTTGCGTGGATGGCCTCGCGAGTCGAGTTGCTTCCCGTGTTGCCGATGACTTTGACCGAGCCGCCGAAGCAGTTGACCGTGTGGCCGATGAGCATTATGTGCTCGTCCCACGACATGAGCTGGCCCTCGCCGGTGGTCCCGCCGACGATTAACCCCATGACTCCGCCGTCGATTTGCATGTTTACGAGCGGCCTCGAGGTCGAATCGGCCGTCGGGAAGGTATGGGGTCTTGATGGCCGTTATCAACCGTAGGGTTTTTATTTCGTCCACGTTTGTTCTGCCGAAAATGAAATTAAATTATGACTACAGAAGATTTTGAATACGAAACGAACAAATTACAAGATGATTATACCTATGTTTGGTAACCAAATAAGCTATCTTATAGCTTATTTAGTTAGCTTATAAGCTTTCAGTTTCGTTTGGTAGGACGAGCTCGAACTTATCTCATAAGCTTCTTTGGTAAGCTTTTCAAATAAGCTCGTTGAAATTTTAATTTCAGCTGGCTTATCAGCTAATTTTACCAAATACTTTTATGTAAGCTAGTTTTTCAACTATAAATCATAAGTTATAAACTATAAGTTCGAAAATGACTTATTAGCTATAACCTAGTTTATCACCTATCAGCTGGCTTATCATATCAACTAGTTTTACCAAACATAAGCTATATGTTTCGAGAAGTTACTTTACTCAAAGCAAACGAGAAACATATGGCAATGCAACTTTGAAGTCGAGCGGCAATGAAACAAAACCAAATGCAGAAGGTAAAGGAATTGGGATCGTGTCTGCATAGATATGAAGAAAGTACAACATACATGTATACATTACCATCATTGACACAAAGCAGAGAGAAAGTAGAAAATCAAAAATTGATTCAGACTTCAGAGAATAATAAGCCTATATAGTACACTACATATATGGGGATGGAAACATTTCCTTCAACAACCTATGAATCTTTTGCTCGGAAACTATAAACACGAAGAGTAAACTTGCTACATGTCTAATCAAACCATTTTGATGATCAAAGAAACTCACTGGAAAAATTTAGCTTGCTCGTAAAAGAAATAAATAAAAAATCAATTATTTACCTATTTTTAACTTCATAACTACGCATGGGAAGATGGAAATTGGGAATCACAGCTGCTCTAGGTGGCTTCCATTTTCCCACTCTAACTGCATCACAATTCACAAGCAGTTAAAAAAAATGCCGGCATCAGTAATATGCATAAAAAATGTCTATATACACATAAGAAAGAGAAACGTAGCAAGGCACTCATATTGTGACCTTCATCTGAAAAATCGCCAAAAATGCAGCACATATAAGTATCTCAAAAATATGTGATTTGAACTCATTCAAGAATCATTACAGTATAAAAAATGCTTAAAGGTCAGCCATCATTCAAGCTATAAAGCACACAGTACCTTTGCCTAAAGAACACAGGCAAGTACCTCGAACCCATAACATGTAAATCAACAATTAACAGTATAACAATGCAAATTTAGCTCGATAATCTCGGTGTGAGCAGTATGATAAAATGAGCACAAAAAGAAACCTTGCAAGCTACAATGTGTTATGAGACAGACAATCAAGGCACGATCTTTTTGGAATGGGGGGGAAAATTCTCGATTTCAGAATATCAATCGGCAAAAATATAAAAAATTACCTTGATGCGTTTTGACAGAAAAACATCCAATCGCCGACGACATTGCAGCTGATTCGAGAAAATTGTACACAGATAACAAAGAAAAGAAATGAAAAGGCGTAAAACTGAGTTAACTCGCGTGAATCCTCCGGCAACGAGGGGAGCTCCAAAAACCCCGTGTCAGCTGCATCAGTCGTTCTTCGGAAACTGAAGACGGAGGTTTGGCCGGCGGCGCGACGGGCGCGAGAAGATAAAGTGATAAAAAGAAGTGGAGCTAAAACCTCAAGGGGTTGGCCATGGCGGCGGACAAGGAAACACAAATTAGGTTTTCTTCTGATAACTGATTATTTAGAACCCGACATTTTGGTTTCCTTAAACTGATGAGTAGTGATAAAAATTACCAATTGGATTGGATGAAAAAATTAATGAATAAATAGAATAAAATAATTAAAAGTACCAAATAACTGATATATTGTTGAATCTTTTATAATCTATACCTTTTTAAAAAAAATTATGCAAAATGTTAACATTGTAACTCGGTTTGATACTTAGTTGATGTGAAGATGCATTTGTTAGATAATTAGATATTTAATATGTAAAAATAGTTAAAATTGCAATCATATATTGTTGATATGGCTCATATATTGACAAAGGAAGGGGGCAGGCTGATGCCTGCGAGTGGAGCAAGCTTAGCGAGGGAGCGGAGCGTCCGAGTGGAGCGAGGGAAGCGGAGCGTCCGAGCGGAGTGAGTGGAACGAGCAGGCATCATTAAGTAAATTTATACCTACTAGGGTTATAATATAAATACATGATGTATTGATGTATTTGGATTATTGAGAATATAAAAGATCGCTCCACCGTGGATGTAGGCACATTGCCGAACCACGTAAATCTTGTGTTGTTTATTTTCTCGTCTTTAATTCGTATTGTCATCGTTTCACAATATATATATTTTAAGATAAAATCTATATTAGATTTGTTGAGGTGGGAAAGTGATTGGTAAATAATTAGCTGTTTGATAAATAAAAATCTATACTTATATTAAAAGGTATACCATTTACCAAATTTAGTATAAAGAAAAGTCAACAACATTTATTGCATTACTATTTCCGTATTATACAATCTATACTTATATAACAGGAATTTCTATTTACTACATTTACTATCCAGAAAAGTCAACTGCATTAAATGCCATTACTATTTTGGTATTATAATATTTTATTTATTTAATTGATTTATTTTTTTTATTTTAACAAGATAAGTATAATAAAAAGATTTTAATAATGAAAAAATCAAATACCAAATAAAAATGTACACTTTGACTTATTTGATTATATTTGGTATTTGATTATACCAAATATATTCCTATTTAGTATATACATTAAATACTTACTAAAGTATTTATTTGTTTTATTTGTCAAAGTTAAGTATAGATTTGTTTATATTATCAAATCATAAAACAAATAAATATATCTCGTGCTTCGCACGGGTATTTGAACATTGTACAATTTTTTTTGCGTATTATAAACTTTTATTGAATATTGCATCTTATAATATAATATTCTCTAAATAAATATATCTCGTGCTTTGCACGGGTCACGTACTATATATATCCCGTACATTTTTCTTTATTCATGTATATAATTATAAGCCTGAATAAATAGCCTTAAAATTATGTACCTCGTGCATCGCGCGGGCTCTGTACTAGTTATTTTAATGGGTCAAATCTTTAATTTGCCGAACAACACTAGCATATATCGCCGAATCGCAAATATTTTTTACTCGATTTGTAATGACATGAGAGAAAGTAATAAATATTGAGAATTTTATTATTTTTTTGGATTAATTTTTGTTTTAGTTTTCTACATTTTTTAACACAATGGCCAATAAATTGCATTGTTTTTCACCACATTTACCACAACAACAACACCATCATCATCAACAACAATAATAATAATAATATTGTGAGGCACATTTATTATCCCTAATAATAATAATAATAATCATAATAATACTAATGATAATGCGAGGCACATTTACTACCCGTGGAATACGCAATGAGTGTCCCTTACATTTCACACACAAACACCAGAAATTCGAAGGACACAGAAAGCTAAACAACAATGGCGGAGGAAGGCGGCGGCGTTGGCGGCGAGGAATACCTGTTCAAGATAGTGGTAATCGGAGATTCGGCCGTGGGCAAGTCCAATCTGCTCTCCCGCTTCGCCCGGGACGAGTTTGACCACCACTCAAAGGCTACCATCGGCGTCGAGTTCCAGACGCAGGTCGTCGAGGTCGACGGCAAGGAGATCAAGGCCCAGGTTTGGGACACCGCCGGCCAGGAGCGGTTCCGGGCAGTCACCTCCGCCTACTACCGCGGCGCCGTCGGGGCCCTCATCGTCTACGACATCACCAGAAAGGCCACCTTCGAGAGTGTCCAGCGATGGCTTGATGAGCTTAACAGTAAGCCATTTTGTCTTATTTTTCTTTCACTTTTCCTTATTAACCCTAAAGTTGACATTTTTATCTCATTTTCTTTGAGTATTTTTCATTTGCTCTCAGCACTTGTTCCAATAATGTTTTCTCTGTTGTTGGGGGTGTGAAGAACTGTATTGCAATTTTAGTCATCCAATTAATTGAGTGTTATTGGTAATAGTGTCTGTCAAGTGAGTTTATCCTTGAGAATGTTCTCTGGCATTTGGCAATGTAACTTGGAATTATCAACTTTATGAGAGTTTGCTAAATTTTATCAGTTGGCTGATGTATAATCCAACTTGCAGATGCTTTGGANCTTTTTCAGTAATTTTTCAAGTCCCTGACTTTAGTAGTAGACAGTGTTTCGAAAATAAGACGATTCATCTGCAAATCCTTAAAAAATGTTGCCAACCATTTAGCTAAATGTAAATTTTCAGCTTATTCTAATGTGAAAAGTCGGTGCACTAAGGTCTCTACATTTGGCTGTTCTACTATACTTTCTAATTTTGTAATTGCTTCTATATTAGCTTCCCAGTTTTTACTTATGTTAATCGAACATTGTTTGTTTCAGATTAGATTCATCTCTCCATTGTTCTGATGAATCTTAGTTTTTCGAAAGTTGGATATAGACAAACTGATGAAGTAAGTGTTCATATTGGCTAGCTCCCAAAATCTGGGCCATTTTCTGGATAAACTGCTCAAAAATGTTTCATTTCATTGCTTTTTGTCATATAAGTAGTAATACAAATATACATTTACACGCCGAGAAATTCATAAGAGGGATTGGGATGCAAATGATTTTGTTGTTCTGTTTAGAATGGATTGGAAACTTGTATGTATCTAATTTTAGCAAGGAAGATGGATCTCTATTTGTTAAATTAATAAGTCAATGTGCCAACTTGGAGTAATCTTTATAAGTAGCCTTTTTCAATACTGGAATTGTTGGGTGGGTTATAATAAACCAAGATAGTAATAATAAGAGTGTAGGTTATAATAAACATTTGCAGCACAAGTTGATAAAGACTTGAATTTAGAGATCATAAATGGAATTCAAGTTGATAGAGACTTGAATTTAGAGATCATAAACATTTGTACTATGATTTGTCGAATTACTCTGTAACTAGCACCTATTCAGTAAATGGAGCTTTAAAACATTTAGGCTCATTTTAAGCAACACCTATTTTCGGTACATAATATTATTCTCCATGGCCGCATTTAGGGACTTCCGAAAATGACTCGAAAAAACCTCAAATTGGAGTAATAGGGATTTTGTAGCAATTATGCCATATTATCTCCCAAGCAAGTCCAAAGGATATGTAATTAAGGATGAAAGAAAATAATAAACACACCAATGTCTTTTAATGTTTGATTTTTTTTATTTTTTTATTTTTGCATGAAAATAACCTTATCTTGTCTAGTTTAGGCAAAATTGCATATTGAGTCTTGTTGGTTTAATACTATATTTAATTTTAGTCCCAAGATTCCAACATTTCGCATTTTGGTCTGTGATTTGATATTTTTGATGCAATTTCGGTTCTTTGATGACCGAAATTGCAACAAATTTCTGAATTCCTAGATTTTCAATTATCTTGTATTTTAAATTTTGTTGCAATTTCAGTCATCAAATTTAAAATTTTGTTGCAATTTCAGTCCTCAAGGACTAAAATGGCAGCAAAATATTAAATCATATGACCAAAAGGCGAAAAGTTGGAATATTGAGACTAAAATTGCTATGACGTTAAACCAACAAGACTAAAAATGTATTTTTACCCCTATTATATATCCTTTTCTTTAACATGTTTTGTTTCTAACAAAATTATATATTGCAGTTCATTGTGATACTACAGTGGCAAAAATGCTAGTCGGGAACAAGTGTGATTTGGACAACATTAGAGAAGTGAGTGTGGAGAATGGTAAGACTTTTGCCGAGCAAAAAGGATTGTTCTTCATAGAGACCTCGGCCCTCGACTCTACTAACGTGAATGAGGCTTTTGAGGTTGTGATTCGAGAGATTTACGATAAGGTTAGCCGCAAAATACTAAACTCAAACTCATACAAAGCCGAGCTATCATCAAATCGTGTCGATGTCAACTTGTCCAAGGCAAATAGCAGCACATTTGCATGCTGTTCGAGATGATTTTTTTATTTTTATTTTATTTTTCTGAAAATCCTTTTGAGACACCCCCCTATCTATGTAATTTAGATTGGTTTGTGTTCACAAAGGACAATGAGATGGTAATTGATATTTCAGGATTTGAAAGCTTGATTTTTGTGGTGGCTATTTATCTTGTTAAATTAAAATTAAACGAGTGTTGTTAAATTAACCAAATCTGGCTCTGTTCGGCTCTGCTTGTTTGATAAATGAGTTCTCGAGCTCGTTTAAAGCTCGTTTAATTAACCAGTTTGATTCAATTCAATTCGATAAGGGTTATATATTTGCTTTTAATTTACTCGCAAACGAATCGAACTTAAGCTCTATTACTAACTTGTTGAAGAGCTCGAGCTTGAATAACATGAATTCGGTTCGGCTCGACTCGTTTAGAGTGCTGGGCAACAACCAACTTGATCGTATCATCCGTGTTTATTTCTATTCATTAGTCAAAAAACAATATATTGTTTATATCTATTTAAAATCAGTAACTTTAATTTACAATTGGAACTTACACGGTTTTATTTGACTTCTACATGAGAGGTATAAATCAAAATGCATCCATGATCACTTTTGACCCCAAGCAAACGTAATTGAAGCTAATAAACACGGATCAAATGACTTGCAGTAAATAAAAAGTCAGTCAACTGTCAAAGTATGTTGCTTTATTCGAACAAATTAGGTATATCTAACTATAGCCATATTTTTTTATTTAAATAAACGTGAATGTCTTATAGTTAAATAATTATTTAAATAAAATTATTGTATATTATAATATATATATGCATATATTTAAAATGCATAACGTGTCGACTTGCTTAATTATCAGACTTGCTCCGAGCTTAATTTTTCTTTACATAACAATAACAAATTACACTATTAAAACAACATGCATAACCGTTACACATTTATACTTTTTGAATAAAAGCACACACCTTGAAATATAAATATCATACTTTTCAAAAATAATGTAAACAAAATTATAACATTTTTATCATTAATGGAACTCTGTCATTGCATGCCTCAGCAATGAGAGCATACTTTGAAGTTCAAATATGTTTTGGTTATTTCAATTTGTTTTTTCTAGAACATCTCAAGTTTGGAAAACTCCATACCACCCAACTAATCAGAAGTTTTTTTTTTTTTATTATTATTATTATTATTATCGTCGGTTAATTCCCAACAAAAATACTAGGTTGTCATTACATAAAAAGGAAAAGTTAAAAATTTATTTAAAAATATAAGATAATCCTGAAATTATGAATGGATGGGTATAAGACAGAACTAGTTATTAAAATTATTTTAAAATAAATAATAAAATATTAATTGATAATAGATGATAATTTAAAATATCTGAATGAGTAAAAAATATTTTATTGGATAATGTATAATAATGATTATTTTTTATTTCTATTAGAAAAGGCGAATGAATGTATTGTAAAGTAATTTATTTCATCATAGTTCCAATAATAGTGTTAAATTTTCGTCGACGTGTACCTCTTTTACCTTTTCATCGATATAATCTCACTGTATGCTGGTAAATCTGACTTGATTTTAGAAAAAGAAACAATAGTATATTATCATAAAGCATAAAGTACAAGCTTATAATCAGTCTATAAAAATAATTAAGAAAAGGTTTAGAAAGATAAGTGTGTTAGCACCTACTAGTAATTTCCATTAATTTAATGACGTCTATTAATGATAAAGTAAAAGGTGTAACAAAAGCTACTTTTTTTTTAAATAATTAATTATCACTTTTTAGTATGTTCAAAGTATAAACCAAGTTCTGAAAATTAGACTGGTCAAGCTATCGGTTCAATGGTTCACTAGTTCGACCATCGGTTGAACCGATATTTAATCTTCAGAGTTGTGTTCCAAAGATCGGGTATTTACCAGAGAAACCAAGGAAGATTTTATTTGATAAAAATTATATATAAAACTTTAATTAAATATTTAGCCAATTTAAAAAAAAAAAATCAAATACTTAAGTTATCTATTATATTTAAATATGTATTTTTATTTATATAAAAAATATTTTAAATATATTAATATTTAATTTTCTTAATAAAAAATACTAGACCTGTTCAAACTGGTTTTGACCAGTCGGTTTTGTTTGGTTTGCTGGCAATCGGTTCATTCCAACGAACTGGACCGTTAATTGATTTGTTCCCGATGCAGCTGGTCGGGCCGATTTATTTTCTAGACCTTGGGTTAAACAGAGTTATCATTTTTTTAGTAGTTTGATTTTCACTGTTTTTTCTTCAAACTATTTATTCATACACGAAAAAGTTGATCTTCATGAGTTGTTAACAATGAGCTGATTGTGAGCTTGGCCCATATTATCTCATTTTATTAATGAGTTGCGCACTTGTGCTTGTCTTGAATCGTTCGACTTCATAAATCGAGATACTCATATAATTATTTTAAATTTTAATATAACTCTGTTCGTTAAGGGTCGAGTCGACTTATTAAGACTCGTTAACAAGTCGGGAATGAATTTAGGAAGCGATTGAATATAAATAAAACATATTTTGATTGGATTTATTGGTTAAAATTAGTTAATTTTGAATAAAGTTGGTTGAGTGGAGGCTTAGTAGGAATATGAATTTGTATTTAAATAATATTTATAACTTAATAATTAAAATTGGTATGACGTGAAAGTATGAGAGATGCTATTGGACATGATAGATAGTTAAAAATATGTAAGTTAATGAATAACAAATTAAAATTAATGTGATGTGTGAGGATGATTATTGGTTAATGTGATGTGTAAGAATGATTATTGTATTATTTAATTACATCGATAACAATAGAAAAATCTGTTGGATTATATTTGAGTTACATAGTGTAAAAAAATTATCTGGTGAATCAAAATTAATTTTAACAATGCCCTTATAAGCTCGATTTGTTTCCTTATCATCCCTTTAACCACCAATTACAATATCTATCATCCATGTCATGTTTACATCATCATTCCACTAAACATTCCACCATTAAAACACTTTTCGCATTTGTTGAATCATTTAAATGCACATGTGAAACTCACTTTTTCTCTTTTAAATGACATTCAGTCCATTAAATAAACATATGGACCTCACTATTTTTGTTAATTAAATGAATGACAACATCGATTAAAGCACCAACAATGGTATTTTGATTGCTCTATTTTGGGTCAAGATTTTCTAGGCCCGTTGGGGAGTGGGCTTACATGGGTCAGCCCGCGGAACCCGCGGCCGCGGTGGAGGCAAGTTGGGCCGACAATTTACAAGCCCGCCATAATGGTGGGCGAGCCTGCCCCGCCCTGCCAAAAGGGGCTTTGGCGGGAGGGCTGACCCATTTTGACATCTCTACAAACGACCAACGCATATGCCCTTACAACTCAATATTCACAAAGTGTTTGGTTATTGGCGTTTAAGCCATATTTTAGCTGTTTGACCCATTTAGTCTTTTTGATTCTTTGACCAGCTAATTAAAAGTGTTTGGTTTTTAGCTGATTCAACAAGTTTATTTGCCCCAAAACGCTACAATCCAAAAGTTGTTTGTAGGAGTGTGTGAGGATAGCGGTTTCCATTATTCAATTGTATTTGAGAGAGTTTAATTATTTGCATTTGTTTGGATTCTTGTTGCTTTGAATGCTTTGTTGTTTATTCATTTTGCATTTTTTTTAGTTGAAAAAAATAAAATTGGTGTTATTTGGTCAAAGTAATTAATTTTGCCTGTCAAACACGCTTTAGCACTTTCAATTTTCCAATCACTTTTCCTCCACTCCTCCTTCAACCTCTCCCCTTTATCTTCCCCACTTTAGATTCCACAGGAATTCTACCCACAATCCACAATCCATCTCTCTCTCTGTCCTCAAGCAATGGCGGGTTCCCCTCTTCCCATCATCGCCGCTCTCCTATTTGCGACCGCGTTTTCCCGAATCTCGTCCCAGCCCGCCAATTGCCCCTCACAGACCTTCGCCAACGGGCAGGCATACAGCTTCTGCCTCGGCCTCTCAACCCTCCAATCGTACCTCTACTGGACCTTCGACCGGCCCACCTCCACCCTCAGCATCGCTTTCATCTGCCCGGCCGCCGAGGGCCGGTGGATCTCGTGGGCCGTGAACCCGACCGGCACCGGCATGTTCGGCTCGCAGGCCCTCGTCGCGTTCAGGGAATCCTCCGGCCGGATGGCGGTCAACACCTACAACATCACCGGGTACGCGCTGCCGCCGGAGTCCGCGGTGTGGTTCCGTGTGGTGAACTCGTCGGCCGATTTCTCCGGCCAGTACATGAGGCTTTTCGCCACCGTGGTCCTGCCGGCGGCGGCGCCGACGACGCTGAACCATATCTGGCAGACGGGGCCCTTCAGGGGCGGTGCGCCGGCGGCGCACGAGTTCCAGCCGGCGAATCTGAACGCCAGAGGCAGCCTTGATTTGTTGAGAGGCGTGAGCACTGGCTCTACAGGCGGCGGCTCTAGAACCAGGAAGAGAAATGTGAGTTTCCCTTTTTTGTTTTATTTCTATTGCTTTTGGATACATTAGGATTAACCGATTAAGTGAAAATCCTGTACCCTTATACCAGGAAGAGAAATGTGAGTTATCTTGAGCTGTTTAATGTATTAAGCTTCAGTGAAAATCGTGTGCCCTAATATATTACAAACACAGTTTATGATTGGGAAAATTCTAAAAATAGTTTATGATGATGGGTTTGTGTCGATGTTTTAGATTGAATCGTTAGGTTGAGGAATTCGAAAAAGATATGATCAGTCACTTAGCTGCTTGGTTCTTGTTTTCCAGATTCATGGTGTGCTAAATGCTGTTAGCTGGGGGATTATGTTTCCAATCGGAATCATAATAGCTCGTTATCTAAGGGTTTTTCCATCAGCTGATCCGGCTTGGTTTTATCTGCACATTTCCTGCCAAATTTCCGCTTATGCCATTGGAGTTGCTGGCTGGGGCACTGGTCTTAAACTCGGAAGTGAGTCGAATGGTGTTACTTACTCGACCCACCGTAATATTGGGATAACACTCTTTACCCTTGCAACCGTGCAGGTATATCTCTCTATTCTATCGTTTTTTTTTTTTTTTTTTCTACTTGATGTAGTTTGTGAGACATTTTGAATGTGAATTGTTTGAAGCGCTAGGTTGGATAGAAATTAAGAGAACATAGCTTTAAAGATGTTGGTTTTATCAGCTTTGTGCTCAAAAAGACTTCTAAATATCAAAATCGGTTTTTATTTTGTTAAATACGGATAGCTTAGTTTATGATATAAAAGACTGTATGAGATGAATGCTAAAAAACTACAAGCTTAGCTGACTAGCCTGAATTCAATCAAGTGTCTCTGGTATGTCATTTTTGTTCTGTTTCTTTAGCTGATAACTTGAATTAATTTGATATTCCGAATCAAGAATGACCAATATAGAACGTGAGTTGTTTGAAGAGGTTGGATAGAAATTAAGAGAACATAGCTTTTAAAGATGTTAGTTTTATCAGCTTTTTGCTCAAAAAAACATCAAAATATGAAATCGGTTTTGATTTTGTTGAATATATGGATAGCTTTTGTTTACGATGTAAAAGACTGTATGAGATGAATGCTAAAAAGCTTCAGCCTCAGCTGAATAGCCTGAATTCAATCAAGTGTCTCTGGTATGTGATTTTCGTTCTGTTTCTTTAGTTGATAAATCGGACTAATTTGATACTCCAAATCAAGAGACAATTTTGTCAGTATATCCCAATGAACTGTATGAATTTGATGCCAAGATTTCTTTTTTTTTTTTAGCTAACGTGTTGTGGTTCTTTTTTCGGCATCATGTGTAGATATTTGCCTTGCTATTGAGACCAAACAAGGATCACAAAATCCGAATTTATTGGAATATCTACCACCATGGGATCGGATATGCGATTCTAATCCTTGGCATCATCAATGTTTTCAAAGGTCTCGATATCTTACAGCCCGAAAACAAGTGGAAAACTGCATTCATTGTCGTTATTTCGGTTTTGGGAGGTATTGCGGTATTATTGGAGGCCATCACTTGGGGTGTGGTCTTAAGGAGGAAAAAATCCGAGTTGAACAAACCGTATGATGGATCTAACAATGGACGGCTTTGATTTACCGATTGATTGACTGATTGACCATTGGTAGATTGTTTTCTGGAATTTTTATGGGATGTTAATGTATTGTATTGTATTGTATTATTATCGGCTGATTGATAGGATTTGTTATGTAGCCTTTTTTTTAGCCATACAATTACAACGTATAGATGTGGACTGGGATTGCTCTCCTTTTGTTTTGTCTGTGTGTGTGGTGCTTTT